TATGGAAAGAAAAAAATGGAAACAAAGTCTATGTAAATAGGGAAGGGTGGTGGGGGTGAAGGGTGCACAGGTAATGGAAGAAAAAATAAGAACTAAGATACATCATGTTCAGGTACAAACACCCAATGATAAATGTAAATGTATTTTATACCTAAAATGTACCAATAAATATATAAATTTTAAAAAAAGAAAAACAAAAAAAACACAAGGCCCTTGCTGAGCTTTGTCACCATAAATGCTCCACTAACGTGCTTCTTTTGACTGTCTTTGTCATATCTTTGAACCCTGAGCACTGTGTTTTAGAGCAGTAATACCACAGAAGCCCTGATGGCTTTGTCACTGATAGATGATCAGTTGCAGGTATTGGAAAACAGAAGCAAAAATTAGTGCAAGTGGGAATTCATAAGAAAGAATTTTTCTTAATTTCATATACATATAACTCCACCCCTGCATTACGTAGGCAGGACCACAGCCTTTTGCCTTTGTATGAACTTCTGACTCAGGTTCTGCTTCTTCCTCTCTTAATCCATTCCCTTAATATTCAACCATATAATTCCCAGCTTTGACATCTTTAAAAGAGTCAGTGGCAAAGAACTATGAATGCAGAAACATAATTTTTACTTCTAGTTTTTTATATAGTATTTACACCTACATCTGTTTGACAGGTTTTTAAAAAGCAACTCACCTCTCTTAATTCTTTCTAAAACACTGCCTGGTTGTCAGGGAAAGTCTTTTTCTAAGATTATGTAGTCTTTTCTAGGTTTATATAATAGCTAACTGAATAGATGATTGTAGTAAAAGTTTAACTGATGAAACAGGTTGAGAACATTCACAATTGACCTTAAGTGTGCATGGTTACCATCTGGTAGAGGCAGATGGCCCATGGGCACCTGTAGAAGGGTTTTAGGCTGAGGGCATCTGGTGCTATGGGCATCCATCTATTCATGTGCTTTATTGAGGGACCATAATGGTCACTCTTTCAAGATGGCTTGATAAAGGATGGTTGGGAAAAGCTTCTATTAAAATATTTTTTATTGAACACTTACTGTGGCCAGACACTATGCTAAATTTTTCATGGATTATCCTCAAAATAGTTCCTAGTTATCCCTTCTGTTTTAAAGTTGAGAAAGCTGAGAATCAGGTAAGCTTAGTTTAAGGTTATACAGCTGGCCAGTGTTGGACCAAGAATTCTACCACAGGAAGAAGGATAATGTCCTAAGGTCTGTGCTTTATCTGATTATGCTTCAGGGGCTGCTTTTCCCTGACAACTAGTGGTTTGTCCAAGGTGGTGCTGTGGAGTGTGCATAGGGAGGAGGGTTGGTGTCCCCGGTGAATGACCAGCACCCCTCCCCCCAGATTGCTGACTTGACCACAGAGCTGGCTGACGAGCGCTTCAAAGGTGATGTGGCCTGCCAGGTGCTGGAGAATGTGTGCGCAGAGCGGCTGCAGGCCTCCCGGGAGGTCCAGGAGCTCAGAGTGAGTGCTCACTTAGGGTAGCCTAATGGGGTGGCTTGGTGTGGATGGTCCTGCTCCCTGGTGCCCACATCGGGATCACTATGCCTAAGCAAGACATGCAGTTGACTGACTTTCATGAGGAAGGTTCCAGGTGACTTCTGAATCTTTCTAAGCCATCGTTTTAGAAGTACCATAATGAGATGGCCAGCTTTAACTTCTATCCAACTTCAGTTTGGATGTGCATTAGTCTATTTTTGTTACTATAACAAAATATCGGATGCAGGTTTCTTTAGAAAGAAAAGAGGTTTATTAGCTCACAGTTTTGGAGGCTGAGAGTCCATGATTGGGCATCCCTATTGGTTTGGCTGCTACTGAGGGCCTAATTGCAGATGACTTCATAGAGGGAGGACATATAAGAGAGAGAGATCCCAGGGCCAGACAGGAAGCCAGAATGAAGAGGTGGCTCCAGGATGGCTGCTTGTATAACAGCCTTCTTGTAAGAACTCAGAGTCCCAAAAGACCTGCCTTAATCCATTCTGAGCCTTGCCCCAGTGACCCATCAACCTCTCACTGGGCTCCACCACTTCACATCCCATTGGGTACCAAGCTCCCCCAAACTCTTGGGAACCAAACTCAAACATCCAAACCCTGGCAGACCTTGAAGCCTTTCTTCCAGAACAAGTATGAACAAGTCCAGAAGAATTTGGGAGAAGTGGAGAGACAGTTGGAAGAAGCCCAGCAGAAAATCCAGTTGAATGATTTGGAAAGGAAGCACACTGGAGGAGGTAAGCAGCCTGGGGCTTCTGAGTGGTGGTGGATGCTGATAGACAAAGCAAGCTACCTTTACATCTCACTCTGACTCATTCATTCATGTACTCATTCATTCATTTATTCATTCAGATACACATTGAGCACTTACTATGCATTGAATGCTGCGTTAAAGGTTGAGACCCAGGCTGAGCAGAAAGACACAGCCCCTGCCCTCTTGGAGGTTCCATTCTAATGCATCAGGCAGCCACTATACAGATATTCCAACAGTACCCCAAATTGTCAGCTGGGCTTGGGGACACGTGCCTGCAATCCCAGCACTCTGAGAGGCTGAGGCAGGAGGATCACAGTCTGAGCCTACCCTGGACAACTTAGAGACTTAGTGAAACTCTGTCTCAAAAAATAAAAAAGAACTGGGGATGTAGCTCCATGTGAAGGCCCTGGGTTCAGTCCTCAGAACTGCAAAACAAATACCTCAATACAAAAGAAAAAAACATTGTCAATGTGGCAGGTACTATATAATGGAAGACTAATAGAAATAGTGGCTCTATGAAGAAGAGAATGTTATATTCATGTGACTATTTTAAGTATACATTTTGATGAAGGCAGTTTCAGGGTAGAACCTGTAAAATTGCATTTCTGGATTTGAATCTTGACTCCATCTCTCATTGGACTGGTGGCTTTGGACAAAGATATGGTCCTCATCTTTCCAATAGAGATAGTCATGGATGATTAGTGGAAGTGTTTGGCCATGGGTGTGGTACAGTGTGCCAAGTAGCTGTTAGCTGCTAAGTCATTATTATTTTGAGAAATGATAGGATCTCTGCTTAACAACCTGTGGAGCAGATAGCATCACTTTCTCCACCTGACAGACCAGCAGGTTGCACTGGGCCCTGTGGTGGGAAGGTGGGAGGACTCCTGAAGTCCCCTGTGATAAAAGTGCTCTGTAGTGCCAGGAGGTTCCTGAGCATGCTCTTCTTACACAGCTTCCTGGGGAGTGTCTCTTGTGGGTTGATGACTTGGTGACATCTTTGTCAACTTGCCATTCTGCTCTTTCTCTCCCCAGCCAAATAGAGTCTGGCAGAAAGAATATGCATTGTGTCAGCCTCTAAGAAATGCTGACATCATACCTTTAGTGTCCCCAGAGAATTTATGCCCTGGTAATGTCAGGGAGTCAGAGGCATAGAAGTCAGAGTCTGTGGACTTGGCTTTTGACTGCACTCTGTCCTGCTCATATCACAGGAGTTTGAGATTCTCTGAGAAGGGGCAGCTGGCAAGGTAAGGTACCCATACCAAGTGGGGAATGTATTGGCACAGGACCAGCAGCATGGGACATAAAATTTCTGCAGAAGAGTCTCAGCATCGGTCCCTAGTTTGGTTTCCTGAAAAGGTCAGGGAGTTGATGAGATATGCTTAGCTTAGAGCACATTATTCACAATGCCGAACAGGCTCTCAGCTCTGCGTGCTTTTTCCAGAAAGCCACCCTACAAATATTTTGTTTTTCATTATGAAAGTAATACATACTCATTGTAGAAAATTTCTAAAATATAGGAAAGTTGAAAGAAGCAATAAAACACTTTATACCACTGCGATGGCACTGTACCCTCTTTCTTTGGATCAGGCTGGAGTACTAATTGTAAAAAATATGGTTTTTCATTATGCATGGCTAGATATTTATAGAGAGCTTTTTATGGTGCTCATCCAGCACTGAGATTGGACACTGTGGAGGTTACAGAAGAATTTTAGCTTTTGGCCCTGCTGTCCAGAGACTTGGACTAAAAATGTAGAGTTCTAATAAAGCCAGGGAAGAGGTGACTGTGTAATGCAGGGCTGAATCGCACACACTGATGAAGAGAGACCCTCTTGGGCCAGAAAGCAGGAGACAGAGGTGACCCTTTGAGATGGAGAACAGGTTCCTGTGCACTCCCAGCATTCTCTCCGAAGTTCCGCAGCACAGGGCACAGGGGCAACTGCAGACGTGCTTCTATGCTTCTCTTCCTTCACAGGCCCTGGTGCTTGTCACTTGCTGGGGAGACAGGGTTCTTTTCTTTCATGATAATATCTGCCTTGGTGGGAGTGGGGACACGTTTTAACTCCTTACCACTGTATCATCTTTCTTTTGGGTTTGTGATGTGGAGTCATCTTTTCCAAGGCCTCAATCCTGCCATCCATCCATCCAGCCATCCATTTATTCATCTATCTGTGCAATCATTTATTTATCTATCCATTTATTCATCCATTTATCCATCCCTGCATCCATTCATGGGTGTGGATGGGAGATAGAGGAATAGATGGATATTCTCTAAAGCTCTCTACTTGGGAATTTATCTTTACATCTCCATTCACTTATGGGGCATTATTCTGTTATTCAAATGGTCAGGAAAGAAGACATAACCTAAATGAGACAATTTTATTCAGCCAAAAAATCTTAATTAAATAAGCAAATAATTTTGGAGAGAAATTTTACCAAATGAAGGATTTGAACCCAGGGTCTCATGCACTCTAGGCAGGTGCTCTACCACTGAATTACATCCCCAGTCCTAGGATGATTCTTTTTTGCCTGATGATTTTGTTGAGTTAATTAGGCAATGGGTGAATTGTACTAATAGGTAATGAGGAATCTTCTGTGTGTAGGAAACTCTTCTAGAAGATGTGAGGAACTCACAGATAATTAAGCAGCTCTCTTGCTCATAAAGACTATGAAACTTCATTGAGAAAAGAAAAATATGAGTTACTGGTAGAGATAATCAAACAGTATAAGGCAACTGACCTAGAGCAGCTGAGCAGCCAAGAGCTTTAGATAGCTTTCTCCAAAAAATAAATTCCCAGGAAAAAGCCTGAGGTTAAAGAAAAGTTTTTTACATACTGACTTTATATCCATATATCTTGGTAAATGCTGTTATTACTTATCATTTATTTGTTTGTTTATTTATTGGTTCCAGGGATCGAACTCAGGACCTTGCACTTGCAAGGCAGGCACTGGAACCACTGAGCTAAATCCCTGGCATTACTTCTCATTTATTAATTCACTTGGTTTTGTTACGCTGACATTCATATAATCTAATAGCAGTTGTTTTTTTCCCTTTCTTTTCAGTTTTAGCCTATTGTTTTAATCTTATTTTATTTTGTTGACCAGAACTTCCAGAAAAATGTTGATAGCACTTTATAGTAGTATGCATCTTCATCTTATTTCTGAGTTTTTGATGTTACACTTTTTAGTATCTTTCTTGCTGAAAATTTTGTTAAAGGTTGTATTTATTTATAGCTTTCAAAGCTCTGTATTTTAAAAATTACCAATAAATATTTAATTTAATTTAATAAAAGAGCTTTAGACAGCTGGAGGAGGTTGCCTAGAAAAAGTGGTTTTTAAAAAAATTTGGACTTAAAGCATAGTTTCTTACCTTGAAACCCCAAATTGAGGTTTAAGGGCTGCATTAATACTGTGAAATTCCACGCAAAAAGCTGAGAAAGTAGCAGATGGCCAGTTTTACTCTTGCTTTGCACTCACGCGGCCTCCTGACTCTGTGACACAGCAGATGAGTGGCAGATGCGTCTTGACTGTGCTCAGATGGAAAATGAGTTCCTCCGCAAGCGTCTACAGCAGAGTGAGGAGAGGCTGGACTCAGAGCTGACGTCCCGGAAAGAGCTGGAGCAGAAGGTAAGAGGGAGTGGAGAGCCTGGGCCACAGAGGCATCAAGTAATGGACAGATTCTTACCTGCACTGTCGTGATCAAAATGTCAGGTGATCCTGGGGAGGAGAAAGAGATGGCCAGCTGGCTCATGGTGTCCTGCATCTACTGCTATTACAGTCCCGGCCACTGTGGGGGTATGGGAACTGTTTTTTCTACCTGTGGGTCTTCTGTTTGAGGAGAGACTGCTCTGTGGCATACATGACATCAACATTAACTCAGGGTATAAGAGTTCCTGTTCCTTTTCTGATTGGACTATATGGAAATCACATTACCTTTTAGGCCTTCGGCTCTTATCTGTAAAATCATTTCAATATACTTTTTAAATAGTCATATTTTATCCATTGTCTCTATTCTAATCATCTACCTCCATGTGTCATGTAGGCCAGAGCAACAGCCTTATAACTGGCCTCTTCCAGCCTCTCCCCTCAAACACCTCTGCCCTTCTGCAACCGAGAGATCTTGCCTCTGCCCTTTGAGATGGTTCTAGTGTTGCATGTTGTGTTGATTCTCAGGGTGGATTTCTTTCCCTGTGTTTTTAAGGTTTTGATTGTGAACTCATCTTCACAATCTCCCACCCATTAGTCCCAGGTGTTCTACATCGTGGAATGTTCTGTTTTTTCTCTTCTCTTATAGTGAATGTGTCTTTAGCTATTTTTTAAATTGTAAGTTGATCTCTAGCAGGAGATTTTAATTTTAAAAATTTTTGTTCATTTTAATGGGAGTCCTTTAATAATAGGACATGGGAGTGTTCTCTTAGGAAATGCTCTTGCACTTTCTTCTGAAACAGTCCCTGGGATGATGCTATATTCTCTGTCTAAAATTTTTGCAATATATGAAAAAGTGTTGAAAGTGTCTATCTCTAACTTCCATGAGGAAGACACCTGAGGTTTTGATTTCCTGTGGAAGGACTTTGTGCCCCTCATAGAGTCAGGGTAGAAGGAAGCTTTCTTGCCACCTGCCAGGCCAGTGGGGGAGAGGCTGGCATTGTCCCTTCTTAACTGCTCTTTTGGAGTCGCAGCAGCGCAAGGGTCTTCATTCCAGCTCTCCACTTCCATGGGTCCAAGGCCTTGGCTCCCATTTTTGAAAGAGCATCCACACAGAAACCTCTCCTTAGGAATATTTCTGGATCTACCAGTAGTTTCTCTTCCTCATCCTGATTGCCACAATATCAGCATCTATCATTATTGTTCTGGCTGTATATCTTCTGCATTTCTTATATCCTGAAATTTCCCCATCTTTTTTGAAAGTGAAACAAGATATTACAAATATAATCTTATTTGTCTCTAATAAAATTGTATCTAGTCTTTCTAGATGAATATAGTGATGGCTTGACCATTCTATATCTTCCATTATCTCGATCATTAGTCTAACAGTCTAGCCAGTCTACACTCTAACCAGTGGTGTGCTGGCAAGTAACTCAAAAAGCCCCCATTTGTAGACTTTGCCAATCCCATGATATACATTACTTGCATTGTAGCCAGTCTTAGATTACCACTGTGATGTCACTGAACCTAGAATCTGGAAGAGACATGTAGAACTGGCATTCAGTACAAGCTGACTCTAGGACTCTTATCAACTCTAACCAGACTGGTTTTTTGTCCTTCCTGAAATGCCAATTCTTTCTCGCTCCTGGGACTTTGCACATGCTATTTCTGCTTTCTAAGAAGCTCATTCTTGCTCTTCTTTCTGGATGGCTCCACTTATTCTTCAGATTGCAGATTAAATATCATTGTCTCCAGAAAGTCTTCACTGACATAGTTGAGTTGGGCGTCCCTGAAATGTTTTCCCAGACCAAAGCCCTACTGTGCTATATTGTAATTATCTGTTTGTTTCTTGGTCTTTCCCATTCAGTGTAAGAGACATGAGGTGGAGCCTTTTAATAGTTGCTCTTACTCTTACATCCTCAGTGTGAGAGGAAAGTATGATGTGATCACCTTGCAGAGATGGGTGATAGTGAGATAACATGAGATTCTGTGAATGACAGAAGTGAGCCTCAGTGTCCCCCATGGTGCTGGTGATGGTCTAAGGGTTGCTTCCAACATGGATGTAATCTTGTGGTTCTCAGGAGATATCCTGAGCCATACGTACACACAGAAGGACGAATGCAGGGAAACAGCCCAGTTCTTTAATAACAAATTATAAAGTCACATCGGTTTCCCTAAGGAAGGGGGATATTCATGCTACATTAAAAAGTAATAAAACTGCAACCTTCTCTGAGCAGCAGAATATAAGAAAACATCCCATTTGCCTTCAAATACTGAATTTAGAATTACAGGCTTTATTAACTCAGAGTTTTGCTTATTTAAAGCAACTCCTTAATGAGACCATTTCTTCAAAGCGAGTGTGCTGAGTTGTTCTCTTTCCCAGATGTAAACTAGGACATTTGGGGAGGGTGTTTCCTTGAAGAAGATGCAAGCGGCTTTGTGTCTGTGTTTGGTGAAGGCCACATGCATGCCCCGTGATGCACTCTGTCTGGAATGCCATTTACTGCTCTAATCTTTGGGACCCGCCACTTTGGCTTCCTGGGCAGTTTATCTAGCTGTGTCATTTTGGTAGCTCCATGGCTGAGCTTTCCCAGATGACCCTAGTTGGTAGACCAGGAATTATCCAGTGCTCCAGGGGCTGCCAAATCGAGTTCAAGCAGGTAAAAGATGCATGGGAGTGTTGCCAGGATGGTTTTTTTTTTTGGTACCAGGGATCGAACTCGGGACCTTGTGCTTGAGAGGCAGGCGCCGGAAGCACTGAGCTAAATCCCCGGCCCTGGATGGTTTTTTTCTTGTACCAGGGATTGAACTTGGGACCTTGCACTTGTGGGTCAGGTGCCAGAACTACTGAGCTAAATCCCTGGTTGCCAGGATGGTTTTTAGGGAGAGAGGAAACAACCTGAAGAGCTTGATGAAATTATACTCGTTTTGCCTCTCACCCAACTGAGGTTCAGACAGGAAGCTTCCTGGAAGTGACACCAAAAGCGGCCAACCCCAGGTCACTCTGTCTCCTGGGCCTCCTTTCTTCCTATGATGCTCCCCTTGGATATGGCACTGACAGAGCAGGGTAACTCATTCTATTCCTCCACAGCTCGGAGAGCTGCAGAGTGCTTATGAGGAGGCCAAGAAGACAGCACACCAACTAAAGAGGAAGAGCCACCGTCTCACCTGGGATCTAGAGGACACTCGTGTCCTGCTTGAGACCCAACAGAGCCAGAACCATGAGCTGGAGAAGAAGCAGAAGAAGTGAGTTGTGTCCCTTTCCATCATCTGGGCTGCCAGGGTTCTGCACTGGGGCTGGGGTCCAGTAGGCCTCTGGGTTCTCTTCCAGAGCTCCTCACTTTTATCAGGCCCCCTGCTCCATGGGCTTTAACATTCTTTTCTTCCCTCCTTTTCCTTCCCCCTTTCCTCACACCTTATTTCTGCATAGTTCTCTCACAATTCCAGCATGGCTCTTGCTCCTAACCCAGCCTCAGCCTTGGCCACTTGCCTTTGGCCAGCTGAGCCTTCACCTCTCCATTTGTCCAGTGAGGGTTCATTGTGCTGCTATGAAACCATTCCAGTTCAGGTCCCATCTGTGCCTCTTTCTAGTTGTGTGATCTTGAGCTGTTTGTCTAGCCCTTCTGTACCTCCGATTGCTTGTCCCACCTGCAGGTTGGGGGTGAGGACAGCCCCTTGTGGTAAGGGCTACCTGAAAGGGTTGGACATCCAGATGAACTGAATTTGGATTCCCTGCCAGTGTTGAAAAGGGTACAAGAGGATCCAGAGGAAATTTTTAAAAATGGAGTCCTTTCCCTTCTCAGTTGGAAGTTAGACTCTCAGATCCTGGGAGCAATTCTGGCAGAAATTGGACCCAGTGCCCCCATGAGATGCCAGCACTGAAGGTGCACATGAGCTCTGCACTTGTTTTCCTGTCATGATGCTGCCCAGCTAAGCAATCATGTCTCCTAGATTGGTTCTCAGGCCCACACTCTTCATCTCCCCTGTGCAGATCTTCAGCTCTCAGTGGCTTTGCCCCTGGCCATTGTGGCTGTGTCTGCCACCCTCCTGTTCTCTCAGGAGGGAAAGGTGTACAGGAGACTTCTATTTTGAGCCAGGTAAGGCAGCCATAGAGACTTCACAGGAGGCAAATAGGTATAGTGCAGCCTCTTTTTAGGCTAGTCAGGATAAAATACAGGAAAACATTCCTCTGGGAATCAGATGTAGTTTTGCTGAAGGTGCATCTTTTCCAAGAGGTAACAGGCAGAATTGTATCCAGGGGGATCCAGGGCGCAGAAATTTCAAACTTGACTTACGTTAAATATTATTTTTTTAATATATCCTTGAGCTTTACCAAGCTGGCTTCTTCATCTGCAAAAACCAGTTTTTGAGTAATGTTAGCATGTTTCCCCCAAATAAGAGAGGTTCATTCTCTTCTCATTGATACTTTACTCTGCTCCCTTTTCTATCTTCTGGTACGTCCTCTGGCTAAACTTGACCCTTGCACCAGGGAAAATGCCTCAGCTCTAGCTTGACCACTTGCCGTGTGACCTTGTGAAATGACACCACCTCTCTGGGTCAGGCTGATATTTCAAAGGAATCCTTGGACTTCACAGGTCACTTGAGAATGCCTTCAACAGTTGCCCAGTGATGGAATGAGCAATGTAGACTCTACCATTCTCCAAGTTTCTGCCAGCTGTGACCTTCTGAGTTCTCAGCTGTGGATTCTACTCTGTTCTGAGGATTTCAGATCCCTAATGGGTAGGGATTCAGCCTCTGGAATTTGTGCAGTCAGAAAAATTCCATCTCTTTGGACTTTCCCTTGTCCTTGTGGACAGAAAGCACCATTCCAGAGCCTTTCAGACCCTGCCCCCATACACGAGGCCCCAGGAAGGCCCATTTCTCCATGCTTACAGTTCTTCATCTCCAGGTTTACCCATCTCATGAGGCCCACTACTCTGCTACTCCTTTTCAGCAGGAGCAAGTTTGGTGCTAATTGTGGATAGCAGATTCCTCTTCCAGGTGGATTAGTATTTTAGCAGAAGGCCATGGGGCAGCAGAAGTCACAGTGTAAGGGTGGACATTCAGGGACATTGGCTTTGTGTGTGTGGGGGGGTGCTCTAGAAATCAGCTATGCTTTCCCGCCTATTTCCATGTTTTATCAAAGTATAGATGCAGCTGCTTCCTTGGTTTGCTGGGCCCAGAGTAGAGTGGAGTCTCTGTGCTGGTGAAGCCCCCATCCTCTTCCTTAGCTTCTCAGTTCAGAGTGGCCAGAATGGATCCATTTGGAGTTGGCTTCTTGTTGCCACAGTTACACCCTGCTAGGTCACAAAGCTCAGTTCAAGGCTGATGGAACGCTCAGGGTGAGCCCTGCCCCAGCTCACTGGCTCCACACCCAGGGAGGTTAGACCCCAGGCTTGCCCCTGGTGGGGTGGAGGGTGTGTGCAGGTCTGCTTGGCTGCCGGTGGGCGATTGGTCAGTGTGTTCTAGAGCTGGGGTCTGCAGGAGGCTTCCTTTGCCATCAAGTGGTCTGTTGATTCAGGGATGCCTCTGAAACATTAGTCCCTGTTCTGCACCCAGTGCCTCACCTCCTTTGTTCTAGGGCACGGACAGGTAGATGGAATTAGCTAGCCCAGGGAAGCTGGGCTCAAGCTCACTTCTACAACTTTGGGACTCCACACTTCAATTTCCTCCTCTGTAAATGGATGTAGTAACATGTGTCTTGCTGTATTGCTGTAAGGACTACTGATACCCCAGCACAAGGCCTGGCACCTTGGGACTGCTGGATCACCACTGACATTACAGTATTTCCATTCAGGGCAGCAAACCTTGCCTCTAGAATGATGTCACTAGCAGCCAATCAGAAAGCTCCTGGTCTGTCCCAACAGTGGGCTCTAGTATGTGAGCTGTGAGTGACTTTCAGGGATCTGAGACTCTGAAAGATCAGTTAGTGTTATGGAAATTGGATGATCTTATAACATGGCGACCCTCTTGTCACTAAGGAACAAACCTCAGGTGCCACTCAAAGTCCTCTGAATTGATATGGCTGGACTTCCTGTTTGTGAGTCCAAGTCACACCTTGCAGAGGCTTGACAAAGGAACCTTTCATGGTGTCCTCATCTGTGAGAAAAAAGAAGGCTGTGAAATCTGAGCAGAATGACAGAAGATCCAGGAGCTGCTCCAGGGACACTATCATGAGGGGCCAGAGGGCCCTAAGGGGACATTTCTAATTCCTCAGTGCCTCTCGGTGGGAGCATCTTGTCTGTTTATTCTGCTAGGGAGGCAAAGGAAGACAAAAGGAATGCCTAAATATCCAGAATTTTATCAAAAATGAGCATGCTGTAATGTGCATCAACCAGAACATATGACATAAAATAGAAAGTGTGAAATATCACATATTTGTGTGGAGACAAAAGAATGACTGTATATACACATACATTTGTGTGTATCCATATATCTATATCTTTTTGTTTATATTTGTTCATTGGGCTGTGAATTTTAGATACCAAACCAGAGCCTGGTAGAGTTAATGGGTCTTGAAAAATGTTTGCAAACTAGGTAGTTTAGTTTTCTCTCTATGTAGAAATTATATAGCTTTATATTAATATATATTTAGTTTTTGATCTGTTTTATAGTCTTAGTCTACTTTTGTTTTAATTTTAATAGGTAGTTGATTTTTTTTTTTGGTACCAGGGATTGAACTCAGGACCTTGTGCTTGCGAGGCAGGGTAGTTGAGATTTTAATAGTCAGTGTTTTGTGTACACTACCTAGAAGCCCTAAATCTCACTGGGCAGTATCCCAGATTCCTATCCACATCGCCAACCCTACACACAGGCATCAAGCATCATTCCCCTTGTAGTTCTCGGAGAACTCATTGCCTCTCTAGCCCCGCCCCACCCCTACCTCAGTTTCCCTCTACAGGCTATGATCTGTGCTCTGTCCTGGACAGGTTTGACATGCAGCTGGCCCAGGCCCTGGGGGAGTCCGTGTTTGAGAGGAGCCTCAGGGAGAAAGCGATCCAGGAGAGCAGCAGCATGCGGTGGGAGCTGGGGCAGCTGCAGGAGCAGCTGGAGGTAAGCAGGGATGGGGACCATGGGCCAGCTGGGCTCTTGGTTGCTGGGTGTTTTGCAGGTGCTGCAGTTGGTGACTGAGAGAACTTCATATGGGTGTCCTGATCAGGCAGCTAGAGTCATGGTGCCCTATGTGTTTTAATAAAACCAGTAGTGGTTGGCAGATTGATAATCAGACCTCTGCAGCTTGATGTCATGATCTTGCTCCAGTCTCTTCCACAGAGTCTAAGGTGACTACCTGGGAGGTACAAGAGGCTGAGTAGAAAATGAGTTAGCTATAACCATGTCCTATCCTATATAGACACTAGTCCAGAGGGATTTTATTAAATCATGACATGGGCTCTTCTCTCAGCTACTCCTTATCATTTTTTGGCTCCCTATTATCCCGTAAACTGTTGCACCATTTAGCTTGGTGTTCATCTCCTTCATGGTCTAGCCCAAGTTCTTTTTCTCTGGAACTGGCTTTGTCACTTGGGAGGTTCATTTGCAGACATGGTGCCTCCTTGCTCCGATGGCTCTCTCCCAGCCTGACTGGACACATAGAGGAGCACCCTTCCTTTGTGTACTGAGATTGAACTCCAGGGGCAATGGCTTGGTTCTCTCCCTGTCTCCTCCACCCCTACCCCCAGTACCTGTTGCAGCTGAGCCAAAGAGCAGCCCTTAGTGGATCCCTCAGGGGGTGCTGTGGGGACCGAAAAGTGGTGACAGAGATGTCCCATGAGAAAAGGGGAAAGCACTGCTCTCTCCAACAGGCTTCAGAGGGCTCCCTGGGGGAACAAAGGGCCTGCTCATGGGACCTGTCCCTCATGAAACTCATCTTTGTCCCCTTTGTCTCCCTAGCAAAAGGAGCAAGAAACTTTGAGGCTGAAACAGGAGGTGGAAATGCTGCAGAAGCATAAACAGGAGCTGCTGGCATCTCCCTCTCTAGGGGCAAGTGGCGTAGCTAGCTTGAAGGAGAGGCTCTGGAAGCTGGAATCCAGTGCTCAGGAGCATGAGAAAGTCCAGAACCAGCAGGAAAACACCATCAAGCAGCTGGAGCAGGTGGGAAAGTCCTGTCCAGGGCAACACCCTGCCCCAGGCTGGCTCCAATGCAGAGCAATGTTAGTAAATCACAGCACAGGAACCTCACTCCACTGCTTCTTATCCTCCTGTGGTTCCCTGCTACCCCAGAAAAACCTCTCAACTCTTCAGTCTGACATTCAGATCCATCATGATCTAGACCTCTCCTGCAGGTCAATGTCACCTCCTCAGAGAAGCTTGCATGTTGCAAACAGCTCCAGCCCCACATCACATTCACTTTTCATCTCCTTAGTTGTTTTCCTTTGTAATATCCACTATCAGATATTATATTAAAATGTTTTCTCAGTGACTCTCTCCCCCCATTAAGGGAAAAGTTTCAAGAGCCATGGAAAAATAATGATGATGTGATTTGATCTTGAGTCATCTGAGCACATAGAGCCTTGAATGCCTGCTGGGTGCACAGCCCTGAGGAAGAAGGGAGTGTGAGTCTTTGGGAAATACCAATAGGGGAATGAGGCAGGACTCTCAGATACTCTAGGGACTGTCACCTTGAACAAGGTACAGATGAATGTTTTGTCTGCTTGCTGATTTACATGTCTGCCTCATTCTATAAAGCATTTGAAGCAGCTTATTGACATGTGCAGAACAGAATAACTCTAAGTCAAACAGTCTGAACCAGAAAAATACAAATTAAAATAGGCACTGAAGAGGGAGTAGGCACAATTAATATGGGATACAAGAAATACATCTTCTTGTACACTTAATAGCTCTAAAATTTCTGGTGGCCAGAGAGAAAAAGGAAATGTGAAGGATATGTTTTTGCTTATTCCCAACATAAACAAAAACAGGTTTTCAAAGAGGCAATGAGTTCTGAGGCTTAGCTCTAAAGACATTTCTAATGTCAGATTTCGTAAAAGGCAATTCTGTCTTAAAAGGCTGAGAAGGCTTTATGCAAGGAAATGTAACCAGGTAACATAAATGTGTGAATCAGATGGGCTCTAAGCAGCTCTGTTGAAGCCAAGATTCCAGCCCTTGCATCTTCCTTATCTTTACTCTGTCCCACAGGATGGAGACTTCTGGGTGTGCCAGGTATGGAGGGTCAGGGTCTGGGGGGGTCTTGGGTGCTGATTAAGAAGCAGGAAAGAAAACAGAGCTCCTTTACTCAGTCAACTGTGTTTATTAGGTCCTTCTGTCAGGTACTGTGTGAATACTAAGGATGCAGATATGATCTTCCAAGGTTTACAGGCCTCAATATTATGGGAACATTGAACTTGCTGACCTACTCTTGGGGGAGAGCTGGAGAGAGGTTGGGAAAGACTGCTGGAAGAGGCGACATTTACCAAAGCTGAAAGCTGAGAGATGACTCAGAATTGATTGAATGAGAGTTCCAGGCAGGAGGAACAGCCTGTACATTAGCCCTGTGGCTGGAAAGTCATGTGACAACTAAGAATCCATAATATGGTTACATCTAGACAGGATCTTTGAGGCTACTCATTGTCCATATGATCTTAGCCAAGCCCCTGCTTTCTCTAGCCTTCAGTCTCCTCCCCTGTAGTGACATATGGAGCCTGTCAAACCCCAGGCTTCCTCCAGCCCTGACCCTGAATCTGAAGATTTGTGTAGAAGTATGATGTCTGTGTAGGTATTTAAGGGACACAGTGGATTGGACAGTATGATATAGCTGCCCTGTGTTCTATAAATGAGTAGTATCCTTGTTGAGCCAAGAATTCAGCAAGGACTTTGGAAAATTGCTTTAACTCTTGAAAATACCACCCAGGCACCATTCATGGCTTGGAAGCAGAAGTGCATGGCATGGCCTTGGGGACTCAGAAGTCCATGTGACTTCCTACTCTTCTACTCTCGAAGTGCAAGAGCAGAGGCTGACTCAATACTTCTCTCCACTGTTAACTTCCCCACAACCTCACACAGCACTGTGTCCTTGTGGATATTTATTGATCACAATATAGCACTTTTTCCAGGGAATTTTATGTTAACTCATATAAGCTTGACACAAATGGTACTGCAGATCTCAGGAGTGCCCAAGAGACAAAAAATGAAAAAGAAATATTATATTTACTTGCTTAGCTCCTCATTTTGATTATCTTCCCATAACCTTTGTCATTTTAAGGGAAGAAAGGAAGAAAGGTGGCTGACGTTGAAAGTGAGCCTACTTTAAACTGGGGACTGTTACCAGGGGCTCTGTTGTAACTATCTACTCACCATAGCCCTACCAGAGGGGGATATTCCCAATCATTTTCCCCCCTCAACTTAATTTCCTTGTTAGGGACAGCACCTGTGAACTTCTGGAGCAGGGATGAACTGAGGGTTCATCTTCAGAGCACTGAGAAGGGTTTGAAGGCTGCATGTAAATGCTGTGGGAGGACATGATGGATTCATGATATCTGTTCTAACTGCAGGAAGGAAGGGGGCAGCCTTTGGGCTGCTTAGCTATCATTTAAGACCTTCCAGGGTTCCTGGGGGGGATAATGTGACCCTCAGCCCTGCGGGAAAATTGGGCAGTGCAGTGGGGATACCCAGGATAACAGGGAAGGCCAGAGCATGGCAGTGGCCACCCTCACTCGCATGTCCTTATTGTCCCCAGCTCCGGCAGCGGTTTGAGCTGGAGATTGAGCGGATGAAGCAGATGCACCAGAAGGACCGTGAGGACCAAGAGGAGGAGCTGGAAGATGTCCGTCAGTCCTGCCAGAAGCGGGTGTGTGCACTGTGGGAGGAGGAGCCAGGGCCTGGGGCAAGGGGCAGCTCTTTCTGCAGCCCTCTGGGGACCTTAGCTCCCTAGGTGCTTTCAAGTGTCCAGAAGTACCTACCTTAAATAAGATCCTCAACCTTCCAGAAGCTTCTGGAGTTGTCCAGCATAGTCACCCCAAGACCACTACCAGTGGCTCCTCAAATATGTGGCTGATGCCTTGTGAGGACTTCTGAGTATCAGTCAGAGCTACTTCTTCTGGCAGTTTCCACCTCAAATCATTTCTTATGTTTTATCCAAGCCAATATTTTATCCCTGCCAATGGTCCAAAGACTGTTCAAGAAAGCTATAAACTTTGGCCATTTTTCCACCTAAAAACCATCACCACTACTATTTTAAATGTTCTTTTATCTCTTTTTCACTGTGTATACACCTGTACATATGTGTAAACAAACACTTTCACTAAATGAGGCCATGCAGTTTTGAAGCCCATGATTTTCACTCAGCAGTTTGTCGTGGCCTCTGTAAATCTAACTTGTAAAGTGGATAATAGCTTGCCAGTATTCTGCTCTAATTTATTTAAATAATCCCTGTCATTGGACATTTAGGTTGTTTCTGTTCTCTGCTATCATAACCAATGCTGAAATAAACATTCTTATAGATGACTGACCAGTGTGGGGAGATGAATCCTTAAAGGGAAATTGCCCGAGCGAGACCTTTGGGTTAACCCTTATCTACCTTATTCTAGCATTACCTTCCTTCTCTTTCCCACTTCACCACCATTATACCTGTGAACACTAGATAGAAATATTCTATGGAATGCATTGCAGAAAATGTGGCCTTGCTTGATATACAGATTTTATTATTTTGAATGTTTTGTAAGATGTTTAGCTTTTCCAGAAAGTCTTCTAAAAACAGATATGAGCGGAGAAATTTCTACTTCTTTCTCGTAAAAGAAAATGTTGAAATAAATGTGCTTTCTGCAGAAATAACCATCAGCCCTCACTTTTCCCTCTGTGGATCAGGAGACAGAAGCCCCTGCCTCTACTCATACTCCTTTAGGGGAAGGACACACAAATCTCTGCTTTGTTCCAAGAGTGCCTTGGACTATGGTGCTTGTCCTGGCCCAGGGCTACAATGAGTTGGTGATGTGAGCCAGACCTGCCTGGAGCATCTCCATGGACAGATCTATAAAGGGAAAGAGTAGTTAGACAAAGACATTTTTCTCCTTATGATAGACACTAACATTGACTTCACATTGTGGTGGCTGCTCTGTCTGGCCTGTCTCTCATGGTGGCAGGAAAGCAATTTTTAGTAACCTGGGGTATGCTGTGGTTATCTGGGATGGCTGAAAGATTTGGAGTTAGGAGCAGAACCCTTATACCCTCAGCATCACCTGATTTAAGAGCATGCACTTATGATGCTCCCTGGAACTTAGTGTGCCTGTTTGTGAAATGGGGTCAGTAATGCCTCAAGGTGGGGGTGGAGGGGATAAAATATTGCAAGAGGTAGAGGCCCATTCTGTTGGAGGACTTCACAGTCAGCCCAGGGCTCGCTCTGACTGACCAGCTCTCCCTCTTGTTGCCTAGCTCCCTAGCTTTTAAGTTCTTGAGTTCTCCCTTAGACAGATGCTCTTCCACTTGCCAGGGCAGCTTTTGTGGAACAAAGCCAAAAGTTCCACATCTCCCTCCTCCCTCCTTGCCTTGTGGGATTTGTCCTCCTGGCACTTGTTCACCCTGTGCATGCATCTGCCCTTTGTGCCTGCAGCTCCGTCAGCTGGAAATGCAGCTGGAGCAGGAGTACGAGGAGAAGCAGATGGTGCTCCATGAGAAGCAAGATTTGGAAGGATTGATTGGAAGCTTGTGTGATCAGGTAAGGCAGAGGCATTGTCCTGCATTTGGAGGACACCCCCCCCGCCTCTGTTTTCCTTAGATATGGACCATGGGGGACCAGATGGAGGGAGGTCATCCTCAGGCTGCAAGAAGGACCAGGGAACAGGCCTTTCAGCTGGCCTGTCCTTGCATTCCCAGAGTGCCCGCTTCATTCCTGCACATCACTGACTCTTCAAAGGAGACCTTCAGGCACTTCCAAACAGGGTTCTTGGAAGAACCCATGGGAGTAGACATAGCGGGCCCAGAAGCGGGAGCAGTGGAAGCAGTCTTGTTGCCTTCGGGGTCTCTTGGAGTGAGAGTATGAGGTATGATCCAAAAATAATTGCTGAGTGGTGGCACATGCCTGTGATCTCAGCACTTGGGAGGCTGAGGCATAAGGATAGCTGTGAGTTCAAGGCCAGCCTGAACTACATAGTGAGACCCTGTCTTAAAAACAAAAAACAAAACAAAACAAAAACCAACCCAGAAACAAACCAAAAAACCCCAAAATACACTGAATGTTCAAATTTTACAAAACTGTGTTGTGGTAAAAGACACATTACCATTACTCCTACTCAAAATATTACCCCTCACTTCAAACACACTTATCTCATCATTCTTGCCACTTCTGAAGCAGTTCTGAAAGCCTTCTTTTGTCATGCCTGCCTTGATGCCCAGAATCAATTTAAAATGATTACCTTTCATGGTCATTTTGATTTTGGGAAGAACCAGAAGTCACACAGTGCCAGAGTCAGTAAATAAGGTAGATGAGCACACACTGTCATGTTTCTATGAGCCTGCCTTTCTGTTGGATGGGACTTGGCAGCAGCACTGACCATATTTGTGATCAGACCTTGTAAACACACAATAGAGAACTTCCAGAACTGCTTCGTAAAGTGGCAAGAACAATGGGATAAGTTCAAAGCATAATTTGAGGGGCATTGCTGGCAATATGTCTTTTATTGTAATAAATTAAAAAAATTTAAATGTTCATCATAACTCTTTTGGCAGCACTTGCTCTAATAGGGCAAGCATGAACACAGTGCACTCATGGGTGGCCTCATGAGGACAAGGCTTTTGCTAGAAGCAGCCAGGCTCAGTGTCAGGCAAAGAGGGTGTTTAATGCTGGCTGGGCTGCCCGTCTCCACAGTTTTGGGTGGGTTAGTTAACCACTCTGAGTTCCTGGAGAAGCAGAGCCTCATGGGGTTTTTGCCATTCCTGAGCACCAAAGTTCTCCTCTGCAGCATTGTGAGCGTTTGAGTGGGACCCTTCTGAGTGATGAGGAGTGGCCTGTGTATTGTAGGATGTTGAGCAGCAGCCCTGGCTTCTACCCTCGAGATGCCAGTAGCACCTCCCAGTTGTGACAGCCAGAAATGTCTTCAGAGATTGCCAAATGTCTCCTTTGGACAAAATTGATTCCTTCCCTGTAGAGAGCCGCTGCTAGACTGAAAGTGGCCAGCAGAGTTCAGGGACAGCCCTGAGAGTTGGGAGACATCGCTCTTCCACCCTCAGTATTCCTTTCCCTGCCAGGGGGGCTGCTGTCAGAAATCTCAACAGTGGAGAGCAGCACCTGGGGCTCCCACAGTTTCTCTTGAAGCATCACGTGGGAGTATTGTAAAGCGTTTGCTCACATGCGTGTAATGTCTATTAATTAGTAATGGCTCTGCTGTTAATATCCTTCTCAAAAGTTGTTGACTTTATTCAAAAAGGAATGTGGTTGCTTCAAACGGTCATTCAGGCAGCCTGGCCTTGGACTAAATAAATGCTCATTATGTATTTAAAACTAAATGGAGTAAAGTAGTGCACTTGAGGGCAGGGCTGTCACAGCAGTGTGAGTGAGAGTGAGGAGCTCAGGGAGCCAGCAGCAGTTTGAGCACTGGCTTTCTACGGGCTTTCTGGATTTCTAGCAGGGCATCTGGGACTTTTGAGTTCAGAGCCATTGAATTGCTCTCCTTCAGTATTCGTGCAAGACAGCACAGCCAGCACTTGGCTCTGGAGTGATAATCAGGAGTTCCTGGGAGAAGTTTGCCCTCATTTGGCACTGTGCATTTGAGGACGTGGTGTGGGATGTCTGGTGAGAAAGGAGTCCAGGCTGAGTGAGGTGCGGCTTAGGGAGAGCCTGTGATAGCATGCGTGTGGCCCAGGGTTCCACCCCCAGCACTGCAAAAACAAAACAGAAGCAACAAAAACAGTTTATAAATACTGCTAAAATAAATTTTACACACAAAGGGAACCTTAGAGGCATAAAACGCCAACTTTGTGTTAGTCACCACACTGGAGGCTTTTAATAAATGGTCACACTGGATGATTTCAAACATGTTTGTTATGACCTTTTGCCAACCCCATGGAAAAGTAGGATGAAGAATGTAATTGATGTTTGGGTACCAAGCACTTAGGGCAATAGAAATTAACATTTTGCCATGTTTGATTCACATGTTTTTAAGGAAGTAAAACCTTTCAAGACCTGCTGGTGCCCCTTGGTGTTCCTTCCTAATCTCATGCTTCTCTCTCCCTTCCTTCCTTCCTTCCTTCCTCCCTCCCTCCCTCCCTCCCTTCCTTCCCCAAAGGAAAGTATTGCCCCAATGTTTGGAGTGTGTAATTCCCATGAATATATATTTAAACTTTAATCAGGTACAGTCTATATGATTTTGTACTTTGTTCTCCTTCATGCTGTTCTTGAGATTAGTTCATGATAATAGTTGGAGTAGCTCGAATACATTCATTTACCTGCTACATAGTATTAATATAAAAAGCCCTTATTTTTCTATTGTTGTATATTTTCTTATTTGTACCTTAACACACAAACTGCCTTGCATATTCATATATATCTCACTGTGCACATGGGTGTTTCCGCAGGGTGTGTAGCTGGAAGAGGAGTTGCCGGGTCCTAGAAATGCACAATATTGGAAGTATTAATATCACCCAAATTGGCGCTCCAGGTGGCTGTGGCATTTTCTATGTCACCAGCGGTGTCCAAGGTTTTGCCTCTGCATATCCCTACCACGCAGTGTGCTTTAAGACATGTGTGGGTTTTTTCCAGGCATTGGGTGTTGAATGGTTCTGCATGTCCCTAGTCACGAGTGAACCTGTGCACATTCCGCATTCACTGCCATTGTCTCATGTGAGTTGACTATTCATAGGCTTTGTCCTTTTTCCCTATAAATTTATTTATGATTCTTATACCAGATGCTAATCCCATTTTGGGTAATATAGCCTGCAAATGTCTTCTGACTGTGAATAATTATTTCATTTGTTTATAATGTCCTTTACTCACTACAGAGTTTGTAGTAGTCATATTAATCAATTTTTATGTTTTTTCTATTTTAAGGTTGCTTTCCTTGATTTCATATTTTATCGTATTTCTTAAAGTTCTAAAATTTTGACTTTGATATTATTAGGTCTTTATCTAGATTTTATTTGGGAGTGTTGTATGAGGTAGGAATCTACTCTTTCCTGATTGGGATAATCTTCATTTTATTTCATGAATACTTTTTTTCTATAGTTTTCATTTTGCTGTGTGTCCTTATTGGCTTCCCATTCTAGTTCATTGGCTCATTTGTCTCTTCCTACACAATGTGGTCATCGTTTTTTTTGTTGTTGTTTTTTTTTTGGTAATGCTGGGGATTGAATCCAGGACCTCATGCATGCTAGGCAAGTACTCTACCACTGAACCACACCCCTAGCCTACATCATGTAGTTTTAATGGTTTGGTTTCAGTAACTTGCAGAGCAGCTTGCCTTGTTAGTCTTTAAGTTGACTTGTCTTCTTGGTCTTTTAATTTTTTAAAGATTCCATGGGCTGAGGGGGTAGCTCAGCAGCAGAACTCTCTCCTACCATGCATAAGATCCTGGGTTGGATTGCCAGCACCACACACACACACGCGCGCACACACACACACACACGCACATACACACACACAAAGACTCTTTAACAGAACCTGATGTGATTTTCATTGTAAATTCATTGATTTGTCAGTAAGTTGGAAACAATTGACTTTTTAAATTAAACCATGGTATTATTGATCTTGCCATCTCTTCCTATTTTCTTATGGTGTTCAGTAATATTTCATTATTTTTATCCTTACAGGTCTTATACTTTGTTGTTAGATTTACTTTTAGGAGGCTTATAGTTTTTATGGGTATTATGAGTGGCATTTTGCTGTATTCTGTTTTTCACTTAGTTCTTGTAACACACGAGAGGACTACTGGTTGTACTGATTTTATATCCAACAGATTTTATGAACTCACTGTTTTAATATCTTACCTGTAGATTCTTTGGATTTTTTTACATTTATAATTTACTGTTTAAAATAAGAATAATTTTGCCTCTTGTCCATAAATTGGGATAACAGAGAAGTTTAAATTTCAATGAGATGTTTTGTATTTTTTTCTCACCTAATTGTATGAGCTTGGGCCTCTGATACAAGGTTGAATAGTGGAGATTGCTGGCCTCATCTCCTCATTCCTGACCTTCATAGTCCTGCTTCTGAGTTTTATCATGTATTTATTTGCTCTGTGTTTTTGATAAATAACTCCAGTCAGGTTAAAGTAGTCTTTTTCTCTTGTAGTTTTCTAATATTTAACAAAAGTTTATTGAGTGTTTTCATATGTTTTTTATGCAGTTATTAATTGTCCTATGACTGGTCTCTTTCATCCATTAATACAGTGTGTATATTTTAAATATTGCTATGTATCCCGATGTATTTTGTAGGTAAATCTTACTTAGCCGTGTGCATTTTAATATATTGCTGTATTGCACTGTTAATATTTTTGAGGATTTTTGGAAACAGAATCATAAATAAGATTGGTTTATAATTTTCTTTACTTAAATGTATTTGTCCAGGGTTGAACTATTTCATGTGTTTACAATTACATTTGAAATTTTTTTTAAATAAAACTTGAGACATGTAGCTCTTGAAAATTGAAAATAATTAGCATGTAAACCCATTTGGAGCTAGTTTCTATTGGGGGAAAGATAAATATTTACTATCTCGAAGTTCTG